TCGGATTCAACAAACTTCATAATTATACTTATTTACGGACTTAAAGTCTTGGAAGCGTAAATGCTACCAATCATGTCTTGTTTCAAGCAAGAAGATGTCCTTTTGGTGATCAAAATGATCATCCAAAGCGACCCATAGTGCATGTGGATCCTTCTCAGCAAGGTACTCGGTTTGCAGTGCGTCATGAATATGTCTTTGGATGAAGATCATGGCAGTGGCTTTCTCAGCTTCGCCAATTGGATTGTCTGTCTCATCTTCAATGGCGGGACGCAAATTCTTTGCAATGAGGTGGAGCTTCACATCTTGGACCCATTTGAGGTAGTTCCTTCCAGAGACCTTCGAAGCGGTAAAGTCGAGTTTGTTCAAATTCGACATGTTCCTATCACAAAATAAATGAACAATATGTGATTAGTGTGATGGAGAAGAATATCAATTCATTCACATAAGAGTAGAACATTCAGGTTCTAATAGACATGTATTTGTTTCAATTTGCATGAAAAAAAGCTTCGGGTTTTCATGGGTGATGTTTTTAAGGAAAACTTCAGGTTTTCAAACAAGACATGTTTCTTTTCAAACAAGACATGTTTCTAGAAACTTCAGGTTTTGAAATAATTATGAACTTCAGGTTCATATGTTCCTGCAGACAAACACAAATATATATACAAAAATATGCAACAATAAAATATGCAAATAGAACTTCAGGTCTATAATTATAATTGAATTAATTATTTGGTCTTCGGGCTAAATTAAAGTGTGGGTGAAAAAAATTATAAAACCCAAAAGTACCTAAAAAAAGAGGCAATAAACACTCGGGGCCCAAAATAATGGGCTAAAACCCACGAGTGGGTTGGAAAAAATTAAGTAGTGAGGTCCAGGCCCAAACTTGGGTTGGAATGGAAGGATCAAGCCAAATGGTTTCAGGCCCAAGGTAGCAAACGGGCTACCAAGGAAAGCTAGGTCTAAAATAGGCCTAAGCGAGGGCGTTGATCTAATGTGGCAGGGAGCACAGATGCACTAGCGAGGCTGGGATCTGGTGTGTTGCAGCACAAGAAGTCCACATCAGTCGTGTGGGCTGGGTTCCACTGCAACGGGGACATGGGGACACTGAAGCCCAATTGGGCTGGTGTTGCGAGTGGGTTGAGAGAATGAGGTTTGCAGTGGGCTGCAGCATGCAAACCCAAAAACCAATGCTAGATTTTAGATTGGGCCGAGAATAACCAAAGCCCAAGAGGGCTGGGTCTTCGGACTAGAAAAACATCCCAGCCTTGTGCTAGGTGTGCTCGCCGAGGAAGAACACCGGACCTGTCACTTCTGGCGACAATCTGGGGTTATGGTTCACCGTAGAACCTTTTCCCAGTTGACAGAGAGTGAAATCGCGACATCGACAAACCAAGAAACCTTGGGTTCGAGTTAAGGTTTTCGAACTCCAACAAGATTACGAAAATCTTAGCCACGATTTTGATGGGGACTAGTTCAGGTCGTCCAGAAAGGTAGTCGTGGTGGCCGGGCATGGCTGCAGGCTATGCTTTTGTCAGAAAATCAGTGGTGAAGTCGGTGATGGCGTCAGGTTCTGGGTTTGGAGACTAGAAGGCTCCATGGTCTCGGCTTGCTCGTAGGTGTGGGTTTGAAGAACCCTAGAAAAAAAAATTATTTTTTTCTTTATTTCGATAGTATAATTCAATGCATATTGACAAGTAATTGAATGCATGAGCAGATATAGGATGCAATTCATGGAAAATATAATTCACATAATTCAACAATTATGGATATAATGCATACACAAGTTATGTTGAATCTAAAATTCGAACCTAAAGTTGGGTCATGCATTATGGTGAATGTTCATGCTATTAGGGCTACAAAAATATTGCGATAAAAACAGTTGTTTTGGAAGAACCTGATTGTGTGATGATATTGGTGAATTGGTTTGATGCAAAAAACTTTAACGTCAAATTCCTAAGTGCAACGGTATGATCTTGCTGATAACGTGTTGTGGCCTATTTTATCTAATAGGGGAAGAGGGCCGGCGGCACACAGAAAAAAAATAGAGAGATGTGTTTTTAGGGTTGTGTGTTATTCCCCCTACACAATGCCTTTATTTATAGTAATAAGAGAGAGAAGCAATCATTCTCCTCCAAGGAATACAAGTCTTAATATGAAAGAATAACTAGAATTAAATCTAATCTAGGATTTACACAATCACACTTAAATAAGAAGTTTACAACGAAAGCAATAAAAATACTAGTTGTCTTAATAAAAATATTTTTTTAACAAACGATATTATCTACATTAAGGGGGTGGGGGAGTGGGTTAAGTCTCACAATGAGCTAGTAATAATGTGGTTCAAATTTTCCTTTGACGTGAATCAAACCTAAAACCTCTCACTTACAAGTGAAAAGGAATACCACTAGTGAGAGGCTAAGCTCACAATCTCCCTCCTTAGTGTAGATAATATCATTTGTTAACAAAATAAAAAACTCAGAGTATTTCATACTCAAGCGCCCCTAAAAATTTTGGGCTTGAAAAAATAGGGTGAATACCTAATTAATTAGCTACTAAGAAATCAGTATTTGAGAAGTAAATTAGCAAACACATGAATAGCAGGTAAGCAGTACAAGTGAGCTATTTATAGCTTTGATTGCAGGCTAAGGTTACTGTTCAGGTTTAACCAAATAACCACTAAACTAAGCTTCAAAATTAACAATTGGTTAATAGCCTAACACACCCATAACTTGCTAACACCAACATGTTTATTTTGAAACATAAGTTATGGATAGATTTGTCTTCTTTCCTTTTTAGATGGTTTGTTGGTGGTAAATTCAATCATTGGGCGTGCTTAATTTAAATCAATCTTGATGGCATACCCTAAACTCTAAAGGCAAATTCGAATCAAATTATTATGGCTAACTCATTGTAAAGTTTAGCCCATTCATTCATCCCTTAATCTAGATAATATCAAATGCATTAAAAATAAAAATAAACTAATCCAAGCAATTTACAGAGTTGCTTGCTTATACATTAAGATTTTATTAGTTATAACTTCCTGCATAAACAAAATGTGTACACACAGGTATACATGAGCGTTCAAGCGCTAATGTGCTAGTAACTTAAAACATAGCTAATCACACGTAATCTAAAATGGTCATTGTTTAGATCATTATTAAACGATCAACCCTGCAAAAAAATCAATGAATAACAATCTAGATTGTAGATTGTATAATTTTTAAGTAATCGTTCATAGATCACTAATTTAAACCATTTACCTATTTGATTCTCATCAGTAAATTTTAGTGTTTATCAATTTGACTAATATTGGGAAAGAATAATCTATGCATTAAGACTTGAAAAATGACACGTGGTGGGTCTAGTGGTTAGGGTTTTCCTCTTTAACCAATTGCATATTGGGTTTCAAACTCTCCCCCCCCCCCTCCCGCTCTCCCTTTCCTGTAAATTAGAAGAGTAATGTTACAAAGACCACATTTCTATATCACATTAGTGTTATGTGCCAAGTGATCCAATGAGATAAATTCATTAATTCTCATGGTATAAACACATCACTTGCCACATAAAATAGTACACAAAAGGTAGTACAAAAAAATGATCTTCCCAGCATTTTCCAAATTAAAATATATAGTAATGTTGCTTGTACTGAAAAACACAAGCCCACCAATAGTCCCTATTTCCCTCTCCCGAAGCTACATAGTATATTTTTATTTTTTTGGTAGAATGTATATATGAACGACAAATTAGTGCACCAATTAATAGTAATTGTCTTTCCTAACAACAAATACAGATCTTATAATAAGAAGAGCATGCATTAAGCATTTGTATATATATATATATATATATATATATATATGTATATGTATACAAATCATCAACATTTGTCTAGGTTTAAGTGTCTTTCCTACACATTAACCCAAAGCTTAGGCATAAGAAAATGGTACAATATCTGCGCAATCACCAGAGGAAGAAATGCAAACAGAAATATCTCACAGAAGATGAAGAGTATTGTCACACCTTCCTAATTTTCTGTGTTTGCAAAAGAAAAAGGCCCAGGTTTCTCTCTTTCTTCTTCCTCTCTCTTTTCTTGTAACTTCATATTTTTAAGCCCTCATCTCATTTACTCTAACACCGGTTTGTCTCTTTTACGTAAGTCTTTCTCTCGTGTTGGTCTCCCTAGAATTCTATTTCCATTATTTATTTATATTCTTGTTTTGTTATTTAACATGTAGTTGCGATTGGTTTTTGTAGCTTCAACAAAATTATCTTCTTCAATCTCTAAGGGTTAGTACTCTCCTTATCCATTCTCTTTATATTGTTTGTGTAATTGTTAAATATTCAATTTAAAGTGGAGATTGTCCGTTACATGCTAGCAGACTGACCTAACTCTTATTTATCTTTATTTGTCAAACTTGTCTTTTTAAAATAAAATAAAAACATTTGTTAATGGCTATTCTTTTTTACGGCTTAAGTGGGCCCTTTGGTGATTTTAAATTCTTGTGATTGCAAGTTATTAGTAAAAGGCCGAGCTAAATCGAATATCAATGTTCTTAAGCTTGGCTCTTGTTTAACTTTTTCAAATTCGAGCTGGGCATGACTTGCTTCTTATACGAGCTGAGTTCTCGATGCCAAATTCCAAAGAAAACATAGTTGTGATTATTGTCGGTTTTATTTTGTAATTTGTTTTGTAGTTCCAGTTTATTTATATTAACATGTAGTTGTAACTGGTTTTTATAGATTCAAGAGAATTATCTTCTTCAATCTCTATGGGTAAGTACTCTCTTATTCCTTTTTCTTTAGCTTATTGGTGAGCTAACACTTCTTTTTTCAATCATACGCTCCTTCTGAGTTAGAAAAAGTGTTGTATTCAGTTTGAACAACTCATTACCTATTAGCAGCCCCACCTAACTCTCGTTTCTCTATCTCCCAAACTTAAATCTTTTGTAATATTTTATGTTCTATAATAAAACTGAATTGCAATATCTCGTTTGGCTACAGGAATGATAATATGTGACAGAAGCAGTTTCCGATCTGATATTTGTATCATGAAAGGGGATGTAAGAACACACTCAGCCTCCTCTTCTAACTTTGTGTACAAATCCACACACAGAACTAGCTTCATAAATTACGTTGCAAGCATTCTTAAGGAGAAGGAAGAAGAAGAAACTGTCGAAGAACTCCAACACGAAAAGATCAAACCGTATACCCAAAAATGGGAAAAGAGTACGATGGACACCATCACTGAATTAAACCTCATTGCAAAGAAAGACAGTTTGATGAGCATGCAACTCGAGTGTGACGTTCAACATGAAGTTCCAGCCGTGTTCTTCTCAACGCCGGGCTATACGGGTAACTTTTTTCATGAATTCAACGATGGAATTTTGCCGTTGTACATAACATCCCAGCACTTGAGCAGCAAGATTGTGTTTGTCATTCTTGATTTACATGATTGGTGGCTCACGAAATATGGAAATATCCTTTCACAGCTGTCAGATTATGCAATGATAGATTTTGATGAAGATACGAGAACTCATTGCTTCCCTGAGGCCATTGTTGGTTTGAGAATTCATCAAGAGTTGAGTATAAACTCTTCACTGATGGAGGGAAATAAGAGCATTATCGATTTCAGAAATCTTCTAGACCAAGCTTACCTCCCTCGAATCCATTCCCTAATTCGTGAAGAGGAGGAACGTAAAGCGTAAGAGAAGTTCTTTGAGTCTATGTACCACACATGGAAAATCCCTTTCAAAGTGGGGATGAAAGTGCATAAAACAGTACATCAACTGAAGAAGCCTACACTCGCGATCATGTCTAGAAACGGATCGAGATCAATAATGAATGAGAACTTCTTGGTGAAAATGGCTGTGAAAATAGGGTTTCACGTCGAAATTTTGAGGCCGAAGCGCACCACAGAACTAGCGAAGATTTATCGGGTCCTGAACTCAAGCGATGTTATGATAGGAGTTCATGGAGCTGCAATGACACATTTTCTTTTCATGAGGCCTGGCTCAGTTTTTATCCAAATTATTCCAATCGTAACTGCATGGGCAGCAGAGGAATATTATGGTGCACCTGCAAAGAAGCTTGGTTTAAAGTACATTGGCTATGAAATTCTTACCACAGAAAGCTCACTGTATGATAAATATGAATTAGATGATCCCGTTCTTGCAGATCCAACTAAAGTGACAGAACAAGGATGGCAAATCACAAAGAAGATATATCTGCAATGTCAAACTGTGAGATTGGATCTCATAAGGTTTAGGAAGCAGTTGGTTGAAGCTTATGATTACATCATTGATAGAATATGACTTTTATGTAAAATATTATAATTGTAAATCAATACTAGTACAGCAATCTTCCTTAAGCATCAATGTATTTATCAAAGGGATTTGCCCTCAAGAAAGTCAATGGCTATGCTTTTATGGGGCTAATTGGGTCCTTTAGACATATAAAATTCTTTTCATTACAAGAAGAATGGGAAATGTTCAAATTGGTCAAATTAATTTAATCCAAACTGTTACTGTGAAATGAAATATTATTTTTAGGGAGAATGTGTCAATCAAAGAAATAAATTAACAGAAGGGATTGAGATAAAATAATGTAATTCAATAATTGATAAATGATAAAATCTAACCTTGTTAGAATTTAAATTTTTTTAGGTTAAAATGTTTAAAAATAAAAATTAAGATAACACATCAAAAAATCTATTATTGCGAAATCAAATTACTATGTAATAAACATATAGCCTCAAATACCATCAAAAAGATATACAGCCTCCATCAAAAGATCCTATTGCTGGTGAATTGTTCTCTGCTTCAAGGAGAGTTATACAAGCAGTGAGTTTTCTGTTCCAGTCTTGATTCTTCTTTACTCTTTAGAGTCAAAATTTTGGTCTTGGTGGTTAATATATGTTTTTATATTTTTTCTTAGTCCCCTGACTAAGTGTTATCTTTTTGTTTTTTGTTTTTGTTCAAATGTTGGAAGTTTGTAACCATTAAGTTGCATGTTGTCTTTCTTGAGAGAGGTGTTGTCAAGAGTCAAGACTAGGTTCGCCTTGAAAATTTTTGGGTAGGGCCTACAATGATCTTAGTGCCGTTTCTTACTAGCTACTTGTGCTGGGAATTCTTTAGATGTGTACATTCTTGTGTTTTGGCTGGCTGAAAAAGGGTGATGGTAGGAGATCTGGTAGCACATAAATATAAGAAATGATTAAAACTACTTACATCTCTTCAGTAGAGCTCTGCAAATCACTCGTAGAGTTCTCTAGAAATTTTAAGTTTGTTTGAATGTATTTTTCATAGATTGATTGAATGTACAAGAGGGGATATATAATGAGGTCAAAGGTTACAAGCAACCCTACCTCGGCAAATCCTACTAACCCGGTAAACCTTAAAGTTGTCATTCCTTAATTAAGGGAGTGCAACAAGTAGCTAGCATACAACTATCAACAAGTCATCTAAATGTCAATCTTCCTCAAATTAAGGGATTAGACTTAATAGAGAATCCCATTGAAAGAGGAAACATAAAATCTGGCAGCATCAGTCACCCCATATCGTCTAATATCCATATGCAGCATCAGTCATATGCAACATCAGTCATATGCAGTATCAGTCATATGCAGCATTAGTCATATACAGCATCAGTCATATGCAACATCAGTCACCCCATATCGTCTAATAATCAATCAGTATGCAGAATCAGTCATATGCAGCATTAGTCATATACAGCATCAGTCATATGCAACATCAGTCACCCCATATCGTCTAATAATCAATCAGTATGCAGAATCAGTCACCCCATATGTATGCAACATCAGTCATATGCAGCATTAGTCACCCCATATGTATGCAGCATCAGTCATATGCAGCATCAGTCACCCCCTATGTATGTAGCATCAGTTTTTCATTGTGATTCGAGGAAAAAATAGTGTTTAAATGACATGAAGAGGAAAGGTGGGAAAAGGTGAATATGATAGTTTAAGATGATGGATTAAAAGTCGCAGAGTGGACTCCATATAGCACCTTACGATTGCGCTCTCATTTAACTATACTCTAATGCACATTTATCTTTGTACATATATGAAATTTTTATACTTTCATGATTTTCAGGATTGAAGGTGCTTAAGGTCAAGATTACTTAAGTACAAGACCAAAGCTCCAAGTTGGTATGTTGTCTTTAATGCTTCCAATTTACAATGACATATTATTAATGCTACCGCTAGCCAAATAATCATTGCATTTGAATAGTAATGATGAGTATGAAGTATTGTGCATGTATATGCTGAAAGCATGGTGGTTTTTCTGTTAGATTATTGCAAATTTAGTATCTAGCATGGTGATTTTTGTATGATTTCTCTACTTTCTAGTACGTTTGTTTTAGCATCTAGTTGTTGTTGAGTTGGGATATGTGAATTTTTCAATTGAGCTTCTAGACGTTTTTGGTTGTTATATTATACATCTATCTTAACAATTTTACATATATATTCATATATATATATATATATATATATATATATATATATATATATATATATATATATATTCTATTACGGCAACCTATTGAAATATGTCAGAGTATGCAGCTCAATACTAGGATTGAAGTGATCTGATTTCATGGATTGACAATGATTCGTAGTCGGGATCGCCTTAGTTCCAAATATAGAAAAAGGATCAAGTCATTTATTGACATTGCTTGTCACCATGTGAATGAGAATAATCAAATACCATGTCCTTGTAGAGTTAGCCACAACACATTTTTTTCACTTAGTTGAAGATGTTCATCTCCATTTGTTGAATTCCGGTATGGATATGAATTATGATAAATGGATATATCATGGGGAGCATATCCAACAAGTGCAAGGAGAATCTTCGATATCTATGAACAATGAGCCAACCAGTAACTCTAATGTCAACATGTTTAATATGATTGAGGATGTCTTTGAAGGAATAGATGATGATGATGATGATGAAGATACGAAGGGTGGTGATATGACCAATGCGCGGACAGATGTTGATACTTATGAGATGTTGCTTGGTGAAGGTCAAAAGGAACTATACCTTGGACGTAAGTAATATACAGTTTTGACATACGTCGTGGAGTTAATTCACACCAAAGTTGACAAACAATGCAATCGATAAGATGTTAACAATGATGAAGAAGATGTGTCCCCAACCTAACAATGTTCCTAACTCATTTCGTGAGTGCAATAAGATATTGAAAAGTCTTGGATTGGGGTGTGAAAATATACATGCTTGCTACTATGATTGTGCACTATTTTATAAAGAACACGAAAAGAAAGATAGATGTCCAGTCTGTAATGAGCCAAGGTATAAGGATAGTCATTATGAGCAGAGGAAGAAAGTTCCAAGAAAAGTGTTGCGATACTTTCCACTTAAGCCAAGGCTACAGAGGTTGTTCATATCGAGACATACGAACGAAGACATGAGGTGGCACAAGGAGAAAAGAATCAATTATGGGAACACAATGAGGTATCCAGTATACTCGAGTGCTTGGAAAGAATTTGACCAAATGTACCCTAATTTTGCTCGAGACCCACGAAATGTTCGATTGGGCCTTGTGAGTGATGGGTTTACTCCTTATTCAGATATAAGTACGCCGTGTAGTATGTGGCCAGTTGTTGTATTTCCATATAATTTGCCCCATGGAAATGCATGAAAAAACCTTTTTCTTTTCTGACCTTTTAATTCCTGGACCAAAAGCACCTGGAAATGAAATTGATGTTTATTTGCATCCATTGATTGATGAGCTTAAGGAACTGTGGGAAAATGGTGTTCCAACCCATGATAAGATGACTGGGAGTACATTTAATTTACGTGTAGCTGTTATGTGGACCATTAACGACTTCCCGGCTTATGGAAATTTATCAGGTTGGAGCACTCATGACAAGTTGGCATGTCCAGTGTGCAATGAGGATGGATCTTACACTAAGTTGAGAGACAAGTATTGTCATATTGGGCACCGTCGTTACTTACCTATGAATCACTCATGGTGCAAAAATTCTCAACTCTTTAATGATCGCCGAGAGATAAGACATTGTCCCAGAGAATTCTCAGGTGATGACATACTTGATCAACATGATTCCCTTTTTACCTCGTACACTTGGCAAGCATCGTACTAATATAGATAAGAAGAGGAAGCAGAATGCCGAAGAATTAAATTGGACAAGATTTTTTTTTTTAGTTGGAATACTGGTCCAAATTGAAGATTCGGCATAATCTTGATGTTATGCATATTGAGAATAATATATTTGACTGTTTGATTGGGACATTGCTGAATACGGGGAAGTCGAATGATACCCTTAAGGAACGAATGGATTTACAAGACATGAATATTAGAGAGAGTTTACATTTGAAACTAAATGCACATAACACATTGGATAATCCTTTAGCTCAATATGTATTTAAGCCATATGAGCGTAAAGATTTCTTGCATTGGTTGAAATCAATTAAATTTCCAGATGGTTATTCAGCAAATATATCACATAAAGTGAATGTGGATGAAGGAAATATATTTGGTTTGAAGAGCCATGATTGTCATGTGTTGATGCAACATGTGCTTCCTGTGGGAATTCGAAAATATTTGAAAAAGCATTTCTATGGTCCAATTGTTGAGTTTTCTAGTTTTTTTTCAACAAATATGTGCAAAGACTCTGATTCTTGTTTATACCATACTTAGGGCCTCCGTATTTAGACCTCGTATAAATACTTGGGAAACTCAAATGTAATTATATAATAAATGAAAGGGCAAATATGTAATAAGTGAGGAGCCCTTAGTCTATAAAAGGGAATCATCACCCTCTCAATCAAAGGGCCTCACATCCCCTATACAGAGGTATCATCCTCACCACAGTCCTTGCTCTCAAACTCTCTCTTTCTCTGGGGGACTCCCCCTCACACTTGTAACCCATACATACAGTTAGAGAGAAATACAATCAACATCAGTGTGGATGTAGCCCAAACATTAGGGTGAACCACGATACATCTTGTGTTCTTTACTTTCTTGCAGATTCACGGTCGGATTTACGTTGTTCCAAGACCTCTCCGGTCTTGTGCATCAACAACTGTTACTCATCTTGACAAGTTGGAAGAAGACATTGTCCTTATATTGTGCAAACTAGAAAAAATTGTGCCGCTTGCATTCTTCGTTCTCATGGTTCACTTAGCAGTGCACTTACCACGCGAAGCAAAATTGGCAGGACCAGTCAGATATCGATGGATGTATCCTATAGAAAGGTAAATGGCCATGATGTTTCTGTTAGTTGCATAAGTTTTTTTATTTCTACGTACTA